TTGAGCCCCTCTACTTAAGCCTTGGAAACCTGACGCAACCCGATTAATGCCTGTACAGCCTTCTCACTACAAGCTCCAACACGAACACCCTTTAACGCTTCAAAAGACCCGAGTCTAGAAAACCTAAAAACCCCTAAGCCCGGAACCCTGAACCCTAAGCACTACGGATCTGCGTAGTTCCCTAAATTAGGGTCCCTTTAAAGGGTCCTTTTCAGAAGGGTGCCGTACTACATTGGGGACCCCAAAAGGGACCCTAATTTAGAGAACTACCCATCTAGTTTCAGCAGGTGCAAGGCAATCCGGCTCAGCCCCTGGAGGTGTCGTGGTTCAGGGTTTAGGGTCTACCTGGAGGGTCGGGGGACTTAGTAAGTAGTGGTTCCTTTATGGAGCTGTACCTATCAGAGTCGCCATTAGGATCCCTTTTTGGGTACCTATGACCCTGCTTATTACCAACTTACCAATTCCACTGATCCTCCAGGTCACTTAGTAACTCAGGTTGCACCTTACTTTTTAGTGTTTAAGTAATCATAAGTATTTTGCCACCCTTGGTCTCCTGATTAATAAACCCCCACAGGGTCTAAATTTGTTGGAAGGTCAATAGTACAGTAGTAGTACCGTAGTGCACTAATTAGCAGTACAGAGTAGCAAGTAGTAGAATGGTAGTACAGTAGTTCTCTGTCTCTCCTCTTCCAGGTCGTCAGTTTGCAGTAGCAGTGTCTATTTCCCAAAAGTTTAAAAGATAAACGCGCGACGTGAATGTAGGACTATTGAGGGGTAGTTGATTGTTGTCGGCAGGCCGAATTTAGCTCAATTGAGGGAACCGTTCCACTATTCTGTGCCTCAATTGAAAAACCCTAAACCCTAAACCCCGAAGCCCTAAACCCCTAAACCCGAAGCCCTAAAGCCCTAAAACCCTAAACCCCCAAACCTTAAACCCTAAACCCTAAGCCTTAAACCCTAAACCCCTAAACCCCTAAACCCTAAACCCTAAACCTTAAAGCCTGGGTCCCGAAATCGGAAGCAGAGCCTCGAAATCACCAAGCCCGTTTTCGGAGTGCAAGGGTTTGGGGTGTAGGGGTTTAGGGTTTAGGGGTTGAAGGTTCAGGGTTTAGGGTTCAAATTGGGGTTTGGGAGTTTAGGGCTTAGGGTGTTAGAGGTTTAAGGCTTTGGGTTTAGGGCACCTCGCCATATCAAAACCTTGATGCAGCCCTTGGAGTGGATGCGGGGAGTTCTCTTCTTCAGGGTCCCTTTTTTAAGTCCGAAAAATAATACGGCACCCTTATAACAAGGACGCTAAAAGGGAGCCTAGTTTAGAGAACTACCCATATGAAGCCCCCCGAGCCCCGCCATCCGGCTTACCTCTAAAGCCTACACCCGAGCCCGAACCCGGACGATTAGGGTTTGGGGTTTAGGGTTTAGGTTTTAGGTTTTGGGGTTTAGGGTAGTTTAGGGTTTGGGGTTTAGGGTGATTAGGGTTTAGGGTGGGCCTGCGCTTTGGCTTTGCCAGGATGATGCGAATTTGGAGGTGCGCTTGCTCAGTGTTTGAGTTGTTTGTGACTGTGCAATGTAACGTAGCTTATATCTGGGCGTTTTGGGTTTAGGGGTTTTAAGGGTTCTTTCGATTCCGAAATAAGGATCGAAGCTGCCATCTTCACGAGACGGTTCAGGAAAACGGCCCCGGTAACATAGGGGCCTTAGCAATTACCTATGCTATTTTGGGCATTCCTTGTTATAATTTTCGTACAACCCTAAACCCTAAACCCTAAACCCTAAACCCCAAAGCCCTTGAGGTCCCTATACTTACAGTGTTCGTGTTTGGGTTTGTGGTGGCTGAGCTTGTCTTGGCATGGTAGGCCTTAGGGTTGATAGCAACCGGACCCCTGTACCCGAACCCCGAGACGCCAAACTGAAAAGGCTCTAGGGTTTAGGGTTTAGGGTTTAGGGTTTAGAGTTTAGGGTTTAGGGTTTAGGGCCATGTTGCCATTCTTAGTTCAGTAGTCGGGTAGGTAACCTTTAACCTTTTTGGGGTGCTACGCTTGATGATATCTTATCCTGCAGCACCCATAAGAAGGAATATACCAGAATTCCTAAACCCTAAACCCTAAACCCTAAACCCTAAACCGTTAAGGTAATGCAGGATTCGCATCATCAACGGCATCACCTCTATGCATATAATCAGGAAGGCGATCCGGAAGTTCCATCAGGAACTGGAGAAGTGAGACGGTTTAGGGTTTAGGGTCTGGGTCTTGTGCTCGAAACCCTGAACCAGTCCGACACTCTGAGCCCGAAAGCTCGGCCCGAGGCCCCTAAACCTTGGACAGAAGGGTAGGTCATGATGCCCATGAATTACCTTAACCTACCAAAACCTACTTTTTTGTAGGTTCTGATGCAAAAAGCCCTAATATGGAATTTATAGGGACCTCCTGGTGGGTTAACGCATTAGTTTATGAGTTATAGAGTGACCAGTAGGTTATTGGATCATGTTTGATCCCAAGCCCCA